AAAACTATCGTTGTGCAGCGCGCCACTCCACCAACCAAGCGTTTAAGGAGAAATGCCACCGCACCATCTGACGAACTCTACAGTTGATTCTCATTTTACATAGTGTTAGAAAAGAAACTGTAACTCACTCTGGACACTCCCTTTCAGACCTGAATTATTTCTAACTGCAGAGTGATATAATAGCTCAAACTAGATTCAAATGTGACAAACATTATTTCTGGATAAGCAATGAAATAGCTAATAAGTTTCCACAGTTCTGGGAGAAAGCAAAGTTGTATTTTATCGCTCTTCCTACATCTTATCTGGTTTTAGTTGGGTGATTTATTTGCTATCAAAAATACGTAACCGCCTTGATGTTGTGAAGAGAGGTGTTCTGCGCTTAACACTGACCACACAACCGGACATTCAAAAACCTTTAAGTGTTGATCAGGCCCAAGGATCAAACTGAATAAAATGTCAATGATTAACAGAATATTTTATAATTGTATAAGTAAACAGTATGTTATAAACAAAATATTTAAAAACAATACAATATTGTAAAAATAATATTATAAATCAACAGTGTGGAAATGAAGTAATTTTTTCCTGAGTAACAGCGTCTACGAAGGGTGGGGGCCATAGAGATAAATCAAACTCAAAAGGGAGCCACGAGCAAATAAAGGTTGAGAAACACTGTATTGGTGGATCAAATATGCAAATAGCACAACTATAAAGCAACATATGAATGGTACCAAAAGATTTGCCTTGAAAATTAAGGCTTTTTTAATATGAGGTTAACTGTGAATAATGACCAGTAAGGTATTATTTGAAGGTAAATTATGCCTGTCGTTTTATTTAACATGTCTGGGAGAATATTTAAATTGGGACATTTTTTTGAAATTTTTATAATCTAATGAATTTTTGTAGTAGAATAGAAGTAACAGAATAACTTAGTCTGAGAAAAAGCACTATATTACGTGGAATTCTTTGGTAAGATTGGTGCAAGATATTTTGATTGGATCAATTTGAAATACTTATTAGTAGGTTAAATTATCAGTAGTAAATGTGGCCTTGCATGGTTTGGTGGTTATGGCACTCCACTCGCAAAATGCAAGTCGCGAGTTCGAATACCGTCACCGAACATTCTCGCTCTTTCAGCCATGGGGACGCTGTAAAGTGACGATTAATCCCACTGTTTGTTAGTAAAAGAGTAGCCCAAGAGTTTGCGGTGGGTGGTGTTGATTAACTGCCTTACTTTTAGCTTTTCACTACTAAGTCAGAGACGGCTTTGCGCGAAATTCAAAAACATACATATTGTAGTAAATGAAATTCACAGACAGTAGCTTAGATATCATACCAGTTGTAAACTAGATATAACCAATGTTTTATTTAGTTACGGTAAGAATATTTTCTAAACATTTTATTACCATTGTTTCAGTACAAGATGCAGTTACAGATGCATGCTGTAAGTCTGATGCTGGGGTGCACAATTAAGTAACACCCGAATGTTGAAGCTTTCTAAATTGCACCTAGATCGTACTAAAATTGTATCTCGAAGAATGTCACAAAAGAATGACGTAAGTATTGGTGGATTATAATGATCAAAAGTAGGTGTTAGCTTGTGTGTATGAGTTAGTTTTGCAGTCTCAACCTTATTCCTTTTCTCCTGGACCCGGGTTCTGTTTATTGTAAAAACCAGGTAGTAGTGGAGAAAATGGTTCTGGGTCGAAGGGTAAACTGTGTTTCCATTGTCACTGGAATGACAACAGGGAGAAGCACCTGGGGAACAAGAAGTTCATAGGTGTTAGGGGTACATCTTTTATGGACAAATAGAACATGAAAACGTGTAAAACCCGTATAAAATCACTTGACCAAGATACGTTTTATTTTATTTTTATGTATTACGTCTTGGCTGCTGAAAATGTGCAATTACTGATGTTGTATATAATTTGTTAAGGATTGTAATGTGTGTTTTAAACATGGTCACTAAAATCATTAAGATTATTTTTGTTCTAGCTAATGTTCTACCTTTGTTATTTGTCATTCGTCAAGATTATTTTTGTACTAGTTAATGTTCTATCTTTGTTCTTTGTCATACTCTTCAGATAACACCAGTCTACTCATAGTAGACGCAATTGTATGAAAGTAGACAACCATTTTCTCCAAGCATTGGTCAGGTGATATCTCGAGGTTATAGCCTCTTTTATGATTTAATAAAATTGACCAATAATTACAGGTATGCTTTGGAACTGAAAATACAGCATTATAGAATTTGACATATGATACTACGATTTCTTAGTTAACCCTCTTCCAAGGTCAAATGTTCAGTTTGGTAAGTGAAGTTTAACTTTATTCTGTAAATAGTAATACTCTTCTAAAATTTAACTTTTAACGTTAAATAGTTCAAAATAGACCTCTTTATAAGTTGTTAGGAGAACTTAGACAATTAGCTTTCTAATAAAGGTACTTTCATTCGTTCAAGACATATTATTTTTCAGTTTAAATAGAGAATTATTTTCACTAAGTGTTTTACATATTGGCCAGTCTCTTTATCTCTCAAATCATTCGAACTTTCAAAGTCAGAGAACTCAGAATTACTTCTGAATAATTATATTCTCGAATCTCCCGTTATTTTGCGGATCTATCCCGGGGGAAATCAGTTTCAACTGAAAATACCATATGTGCAAATATCTGAAACCAATGTAATTTTATGATAACTGGTGCTAAATAAATAACATTGTGTTATTATTCCTTATCTTAATCTGATATATAAATGATTGATATAAAACTTATAATAATCAATTACATTTCCCAAACTTGATCTAGTTCATACCGTAACAGTTGTTCGTGCAATTTGATAATATTGTTGCGTCAGCGAGATCACGTGACTATTGTCACGCCACCTGCTTTCCAGAACTATCTCGTTCCTTTGAGAGTGCTCTAGCATTTACTAGATTGGGGGGGGGGGGGCTGGT